GTCAGCATTTAACAAGCAAGTAAATCTATATCATTTTAGCCCAACACTCCAAACCATGACAGGAAAGCTGAAAAGTTCAGTCCTGACAGCTTAGCATCTCTGTGAGCAGAACGTTGGACTCACACATTTGATTCTATTAATTAATTGGAGAGGGGCATTCAAGGTAATCCTAGAAGCATAGGTAAATGGTTACACAGGAAGTAAAAAGGGCATAACACTGATATTGTTTTCAGTAGAATTCCCATGAGCACTTCACCTAGCTCTATTCCAGACTATCCATTTTTGACATCTGTTGTTTGTTGTCAACTGACCTTAAGTCGATCCCAACTCATGATTACCCTGTAGATGATACATCTCCAAGACCTCCTATCCTCTGTTGCTCTGCTTAGGTCTTGTAAATCCAGGCTTGTGACCTCTTTTATTGAGTCTATCCAGTCCATGCCAGCATATGGTCTTCCTCATTTTCAACTGTCCTCCACCTTCCTAGCATTATTATATTTTCTAATAAGTAATGCCTTCTCATGATGTGGCCAGAGTATGACGGCCTCAGTTTGATCATCTTGACTTCCAGGCTTGATCTGTTCAAGGACCCATTTGTTTGTCTTTTTTGGCTGTCCACAGTATTCTCAGCACTTTCCTCCAACACCACAGCTCAAATGAGTTGATTTTTTTTTCTGTTGGCTTTCTTCACTGTCCGGCTCATGCATCTATACATGGTGATGGGGAATACAATGGATTGGATGATTCTAACTTTAAGGCTCTGTTGTTTATCATTACTGTTTAGGATTTTGTCTAGTTCTTACATTGTTGTCCTTCCCATTCCTAGACTTCTTCTGTTTCTTGACTGCAGTCTCTTTTCTGATTAATGTTTGATCCAAGGTACAGGGAATCTTTACTATTTTGATTTCCTCATTGTCTAGGCTGAATTTATGTAGATCCTTTATGGTCATTATTTTTGTTTTCTTTATGTCCAACAACAAGCTTACTTTTACACTTTCTTCCTTGACCTTCCCTAGTAATTGTTCCAAGACTGTTTGACATCTATTGTATGCCTAATAGTGTGACTTGTGTTAACATTGTATTAGTTATGTTAATCTTACTTGATGAAATCTGAAAATTGTTATTTAAATTTTTTTGCAATATGTTCATATTCTCTAGGTCATCATACAGTCTACATTGGGGTTCATGTGCCTAAAAGTTACCGGAGAAGAAGACGACACAAAAGAAAGCCCAAGGAGAAGAAAGAAAAGGAGAAAATTTCTGAAAACTCTGACAAGTCTGACATTGAAAATGCTGATGAGACAAGCAGTAGCATCCTTAAGCCACTCAGTGAGTAATGGGCTGTTTTGGAATGTTTCTCAACTGAGGCTACTGTGTCATTGAGAGCTAATAGAGATAACCACTTGGGATAAAAGAATACGGGTGGCAGTGTTTTGCATATATGATGCAAGATGTAGAAATTCCTTGCAAAGAAAACTCAAACCTGAGCAAATGTATGCAAGGTGGTGCATTTTCAGAACTGATTGAATTGATTTGATCCACTGCTATGGAGTTCTCATGGTTTTGATCTATTTAATATTCTTGTGGTGATTCCATTTCTGAACCATGTCATCCAAGGTGTTATGTTTCTGACGATATCAACTAAGGATAAATTTAACAGCTGAGATTGAGATGGTAAAGATTCCAAATTACCTTCATGCAGTTGGATCATGACTTCATAGTTTTTTGTATTGCTGCAGTTTTGGATGGATAGATGTGTTTAATTGTCCCTGGGTTGGAGGAACATTGGCTTTTCTAGTTGCTGATGTAGCTTCTGAAGTAATTTGCTGACATCTTAGTTGAAGGGGACTGATAGTGACAGGATTAGTATCATGAAACAAAACAAAACAAAACAAAACAAAAAACTCCCACCATACCACCCTGAAGACATCCAGGTTTATCTGATTCCAAAGACTATGCAGGGTTTGACCTGGTTGAGTAGGACAAAACTTCTTGAGAAGAATCATGCTTGAAGCCCTGGTAAGTCATTGTTGTAAGTCAGTATTAACAATACTGAGCTAGATGGACCAATGGTTTACCTCAATATAAGGCAGCTACCTGTGTTCCTAAAACATTACCATTATCATCCCAACTTTGTCCCAGGAAGCTTAAGGTGATGTGTTGTTGCAATAATCCATGAAGGAGGTTAGACTGATACTCAAAGTTGACTGCTCAGGTTTTTTTTTAATAGCAAGATAGGGGTTTTCAAATGTTTTTTTGTTTTCATTCTGAAGGACTAATGGGCTCATGGTTGGGGCGAAAAAACAAACCAAACCAGGTGTCTGAACCTCCTGAGGGTAACTGTGCTGTTAAACCTTAGTGTGTATACTCTGAGCCAGAATTGTTTCTTCACCTCCACCAACAGTACAGAATTAATTTGCTTTAACCTCAGGTGCTGTTCTCCTTTTAAATGTGGCTATCTTCTCCATTTAGTAGAGTGCCACAAGCAAAGCACTATCTATTTTAATAACTCAGGACAAATGAAGTACACCAGTATCTTCCTTTTATGATAATCCACTTCTGTGCTGATTAATCAGGAAACAATTGATTTTATTTTTATATGATTTATTGTGTATCGGAAATTTGTTTGAGTAAGAAACAACAACAAATAAAACAACAAATAAAAAGAAATTGAAACATATGTATATGTCTTTAAGAGTGTTCCACACTGTAAGGAAAAAATAAAATAAAGTCAGCTGTTACCCTCATCCAGAATGTTGCCACCATGCAGTCTGGAAGATTTTAACCCAACTGTCTTGTTTCTTAAGAGATCCAGGAATAGCAGGGACTGTTACAGTTCAGAAGATTAAGGGGCAATGGGATGTTGGTGAGCACGAAGCTTGCATAAGACTGATTTGCTCTAAGACTGGCTTTGGCCGGTGCTGATTTAACAAGTGTTAAAAAATCTACTGAGTTAAGTTCTGACTGGAAATTGAGATGCATAATTTAGCAATGACTTCCTGTATTATGGCACAACTATCCATATTTTGATGATCCAAATTCAGGGAATTTTTAAAAAATAGATGTTCCACTGCTTTTCTGAACCAGGATGACAGTTTATAGAAGGGATTCCCAAATAATGTTGTCAATCCCCCCAATTCTTCTCTTTAGATTGTACCAGCTCTGTACTAGGTATTGTAGAGAAGTGAATTAGCTTTTCCTCAGAGTTCTTTCTTTCTTTGTTTTTAAACAGGATTTTATTCTGTTTTATAAACAGGAAAAATGAAAAAGGCATGCTTCTTGCATATATCATACTTATCAGATTTGCAGATGACACCAAATTAGGAGGAGTACCTAATTCCCCAGAAGACATGACCAGAGTTCAAAATGACCTGAATAGATTAGAGAGCTGGGATTAAACTAACAAAATGAATTTAAACAGGGAGAAATGTGAGATACTACACTTAGGCAGAAAAAAATGAAATCCACAGATATAAGACAAGTGACTCCTGGTTTGACAACAATACATGTGAAAGGGATCTAGGAGTCTTAGTAGACCACAAGCTAAACATGATTCAGCAGTGTAATGTGGCAGCTAAAAACCCAATGCAATAAGATAAAAAACCCAATGCAAATCTGCATCAATAAGACAATACCAATAAAGTGCCTAGATTGAGTTAAGTAATAATGCCACTCTATTCTGCTTTGATCAAACTTCATCTGGAAAGTGTGTCCAGTTCTGGGCACCATAGTTCAGGGGAGATATTGACAAGCTGAAATGTGGAGGAGGATGACCAAAATGGTAAAAAGTTTGGAAATGATGCCTTATGAAGAGTGGCTTAAGGAGCTGGGTATGGTGACATGATAGTCATGTTTAAATATTTGAAAGGGTATCATATTGAAGATAGAGCAAGTTTGTTTTCTGCTGACACAGAGCAACAGATTCAAGTCAGAGGGAAAGAAATTCCACTTCAATATTAGGAAGAACTGGCTGATAGTAAGAGCTGTTCGACGGTGGAATATGCTGCCTCAGAATGTGGTGGAGTCTCCTTCTTTGGAGATTTTTAAACAGAGGCTGGATGGCCATCTGTCAGGAGTGCTTTGACTGTGTATTCCTGCATGCCAGGGAGTAGACTGGATGGCCCTTCTGGATTTCTGCTACCTATGATTCGAAGCTCTCAAAACATAGGCATGTTCATATGGGATAATACAATCCTTCAGATAATGAGCTGGTGTACTTGTGAAGGTAATGGGACAGAAAGAAGGGTCTCCCTAGAAGATCTCAAAACACAGGGAGGCTCATATTGGAGAATATGTTCCTTCTGATATCCTGGACCAGTACTTTGAGTATGTGGAAACAGACTGGCTATCAGGGGAGCTATTGAAACAGGGGAGTCTTCCACTCTGGCACATGCTGTCATCCTGCAGAGGGGAGTGTTTAGGGAGAAGCTGTGGGAAAGTATTTCCCCCTTAGTTAGGCAGCATCTCCTTAGAACAGGTGTGGCTAAAATACTGCCCTCCAGATGATGTTGAATTCCTCTTGACTATGCTGGAAAGGGTTGATAGAAGGCATCTGAAGGGTCACCTTTTGTTTACCTCTGCCTTGGGAAGTCCTGTTTCACACTTCACAGACTTCAAAGAAACAGCCTTCTTAGTCTATTGCTGCATAAAAAGCAGTAAAGAGAGGAGAGAAAAAATGTGGCAGCACCTTTTAAGAGTAGCTTGTTTTTATTTTAGCGTGAGTTGTTGTGGATATAAACTTACGGTACTTTACATCCATGAAAGCCCATGCTAAAATAAAAACTAGTTAGTCTAAAAGATGCTGCCACATTTTCCCCTCCCCTTCATTTCTTACTTTGTCATAGTTGTCACATGCCTTCAAGTTGTTTCTGACTTATGGCAACCCTAAGATGAAAGTGCCACAGGATTTTCTTAGCAAGATTTGTTTAGAGTGGGTTTGCCTTTGCCTTTCTCTGAGGCCGAGAGAGTGTGGCTTCCCCAAGTCATACAGTGGATTTCCATGGCCGAGCAGGGATTCAAACCCTGATATCCAGAGTTGTAGTCCAATATTCAAACCATTGGACCATGCTGGCTCTGTTCCCCTTCTTACTTTATATTCCCCTGCATTTTAAGCTTGAAAAAGGGGCTCTTTAGCTTTTCTGCCTCCACCATGTTCAGGACTTTAAAATTAAAACTCAGCATTGTACCCTCTTTTGTGAAGGAAATGTACAACTCCTCCCTTTGCAACTTGCAGTGGAAGTGCTGATTTAAAAACAAACAAGGCTCAAATACTTCCCCTTTTAGCACTTCTGATGATATTCAGTTCCTGTTTCCTGTTTCGCTACCACTTGTAGCATCCAAAGCACTCTTGAGTGAAGGATGGTTATAATATTTGATCTTGTTAGCATGGCCACTTGAGTGATTGAGCTGAAATGCACACATATGGCTTTGGTTTCATTTTTAAAAAAGAAATGGCCACTAATGTGGATCTGACTCAGCTTCTAAATTTAATCTGTAGATTGCTGTACTCTCTTTCTCTATGTGAGTATATATTGTAACCTTTGCTTCTGTCTCAGCAGTAGCCATGTCATCCAAGGCCTGGGGTTAATGTGCAGCTTTTAACATTTTGTGATTCAAAATGCAGCTTTCCCTGGAAAGTAAATGCTGCATAATCTGATTAGGCAGAAAGCTAGTATGGTTGAGCCAGGGTTTTTTTGGAAGGCAGCCGCCTGTTTGGGTGTATGCTGGAATGGTGCTGGACAGTACCTGCCTTTAGGGAATGTACAAGAAAATTAGAAGTTGGAGATAAGTAATGATTTGAGCACTTGGAAGCAGCTGTATGAAAGAGATGCCAATGATTCCATTATCAAAATTAAAAAAAAAATCTTACTGAATTGCATAACCATGCACAGACCTATTCAAATTATCTTTTCCTATATGTTGTAATAACATATCAGGTATAAATCCTTAAAACAAATTTTAGATATTAGAAGCAAGAGGCAGTGTGGTGTAGCTAGCATTGGACTATAATACAGGGGATCAGGACTTGATTCTCCACTCTGCCATGGAAACCCACAGGATGACCTTGGGCAAGTCACACACTCTCAGCACCAGAAAAGCCCATAATTGGTTCACCTTAAGGTTGCCATAAGTTGGAAATTACTTGAAGGCTGACAACAGTGCAGCATATCAGCAGTGGGAAATTATGATTTGGTTTTGCTCATATATTACGTTCAACATTTGCTTTCTACTGTATACTGAGTTCACAAATGTAAAATTAGTTCTTCATGGTCGCTGTGAACTCACACAAATGGTTGCCTGTGCAGTGTATCATTCAGAACCTTATATAGTTAGGGAATAAGTGTTTTGTCATTTTTATTACCATGTTTTACATATTGTATTATTGTGCAGTGTTGTACATTTTATCTTTGTGCTCCCGCCTCGATCCGTAGGGAGAGGCGGGAAAATATAAATAAACAAATAAATAAATAAATAAATAATAATGATCATCATTATTATTATTGGTGGTAGCCCTTCTCTACATGTGATCCATCGTGTGACCCACACCATTCCTGCTCAATCCCTCCATTACTTTTTATCTGCCACAACAGGAGCATCAATAAGAATGTTTTCCTTCTTGATCTGGTTTGACCTTTTGGTCTTTGACTTACCTCTTTTAGCATCTTGCATTTTGGCTTGGTTTTCAGCTTGGTTCTCAGCTTGATTTTCAGCTTGGATTTTTGCATAGACTACTAATTTACCTCAGCATTTTTTGCCTTGGTGTATTGACTTGATCCATCTTTTTGGCTGCATGTACCTTTAGGGGCTTATGGCCTCCACAGCCTCCTTCAAAAAAATACCTTCTGTAGTGGTAAGATTCCAAAGAAGGACAGCTATTCAAAGTGCTGCTTGTGTTTAGGAGAGGAACACAATGCCAGGGCTTGCACACACTGCCAGGCATTGGCCCTTCAGGAATGTTGGAATCACTCATCCTGACTTACAGCTTTCTTTTGGGAGAATGCCTTGAAAGCAGTAGATAGTAGAGACCGTATCTCCCTGTATGAGCCCTTCAGAGTATTGAGGTCATTGGGAGAGGCCCTTCTCTCTGTCCCACTACTCTCTCAGATGTGTTTGGTGGGAAAAAACGAAAGGGCCTTCTCAATGGCAGCTCCCAATCTCTGGAACTCCCTCCCTAGAGAGGCCAGGATGGCTCCATCCCTGCTGTCTTTCCAGCAGCTGGTAAAGACTTTTATATGCCGTCAGAGCAGGGGTAGGCAACCTTTCCCCTTTAAGGGCCGAGGGACTTCAGCTCCCAGAAGCCTCAGCCATGTTGGCCAATAGTCCCAAGTTGGCCAATAGCTCCTGGGATGCTGGGAGCTGAAGTCCCTCGGCCCTTAAAGGGGAAAGGTTGCCCAACCCTGCGTCAGACCTTCACATGACATGGAAGCTGTTTTGTTTTTGTTTTTGTTTTAAACAGTTTTAAACTTTAAATTTTAATAATGTAATGTTTTTAATTATGTGAATTGCTTTTTTTAAAACTTTATATTTTTAGTGTTTTATACTGTTTTAACTTGTTTTAGCCGCCTTGAGTCCCTGTACTGGGAGGAGTGGGATAACAACAACAACAACAACAACTGCATTGGAAAAAATAGAGCTCTCTTGGCCCTGACTGTCTTGGGTTCCTCAGTCCAAGTTTCTCTTAAGAGATCCCTCCATGAATCAGAGTCTCAGCCAGAGGAGCTTCATACTGCTATGGATTGACCTGTGTCAGAGCTGGCCATTCAGTCCCCAGTCAACTGTTTGACTGTTGTTCAATCCTATGAGTTGACAGGGTCCCTTCCACACTGGGGAGATCTGCTGATGCTGAAGAAAATGAACAGGTCACTAACCTGTAACTGGTTTTTCATATGGTCTTCTGTGAATTCACACAACCCCACCCTTCCTTCCTTCTGTCATGCTCTCCTCCTGTATCCTGGGGTGCTGCTTCATCATCCAGGGAACTGAGTGATTGAGTGGGAATGATGTGAGTCACATTGTCCATGTGGAGGAGAGGTTACTGCCGAAACTCTTATTCCTTACCTCTAGAAGGTTCTGAACAATATACTGTGCAGGCACAGTTAACCCATTTGTGTGAGTTCACAGATGACCACTTGAAGAACCACAGTTACACATAAGGAACCTGTTCTTTCTCCACCTCTTAAGTTTGCAGTTTGGCAAGTTGATTTCCACAATGTCTCTGTATTCACACTACAGTGAGTCCTTGTTATTTGCTGTGGTTTGGTTCCAGGATCCCCCGTGGATAACAAAATCCGTGGATGTTGAAATCCCATTAAATACAGTGACATAGCAGAATGGTGCCCCTTATATCAAATGGAAAATCAAGGTTTGCTATTTGGAATTTATACTTTTTTTGGAATATTTTCAAGCCGTGGATGCTTGAATCCATGGATAAAAAAATCCGTGGATAAGGAGGGCTAGCTGTATTTTTTGAGGACAGCTTATTACAATTCATTGTCCTGGTTATGGCCTATAAAGCCCTGTACTTTTTTCAGACTGTATTCTCCCATATGAGCCTGCCTCATTTGTGACCTGCAGAACTGATCTCTTGGGATCTCTTTTTTGGTACTGCTACTTTTACAGTGATGGTGATAGTATAGAACAGGGGGAGGCAACCTTTCCCCTTTAGGGGAAGGGCCGAGGGACTTCAGCTCCCAGAATCCCAGGAGCTATTGGCCAACATGGGACTATTGGCCAACATGACTGAGGCTTCTGGGAGATGCAGTCCCTCGGCCCTTAAAGGGGAAAGGTTGCCTACCCCTGGTATAGAAGGTCATCCCAGTAGTTCTTTTTTTAGACTGTGAAACTCCATGTTGTCATCCTTCCAGCAACAAAAAGATTGAACATCTTTTTGTTCAATCATGCTTTTGACAACTGATTGGCTGCTGTGGAAAAGGCTTTTAATGGAGGCTGCTGTATTTTTTAGTGATGTGTTTCTCAATTGCTTTCAGTTAAGTAGTGTTTTAATATTATAATTGTTTTTAACATATTTTTGCTTTTATTGATTCCTTTCTTTATCTTGCCATGAGCTGCCTTGAATTACAATTTTGGGGAAAAGATGGGATATACGTCAAACAAAAAATTCTGTCAGGTTAAGACCCAGGTACACAGTATATTTGGGATCTTAATCAGTGGTAAGGCAACATTGGAGTTGTTACCAGTCATAGTTATGTATGCTGATTGCTCTGCATCATGTGATGTATGAGTATGGCCAGGATACTGGAAGATTTATGTGATAAGCTGTCTTGTAACATGATGAACAGTGGTGCAGACTTGCACTGGATAATCTTCCTCAATAATAAAAAGTTACTGCCTCTCCATGCCCAGGTAATATAATCCAGACACATATCATCATCAATGAAATGATGTGGAAATTCAGTTACTGATTCAAAAATATTACCAGGAATTGGTGATGCTATCCTTGGTCATCTTGACCATATATTTTGACCCTTTTGGAGCCAGGGGGTGCACTGACTTTACTGAAGTCCAAATGGGTGCTAGCTAATGTCAGTTACTAGTGTTGTTTACTGTGTAGCCCATTAGGGATGTAAAGCACTTGCAATTTTTCTTGTCCTCAACAACAAAGGGCGTCTTGACATCTACAGACATTGCGATAAGAGCACAGTCAGCCTCTCCTGAGATTTTTCATAATTCTAAACTTCTTTGTGAAAAGTCCATTTGTATTGTTTTCTTGCACAGGAATGGGTTTTTGCACTTTTTTGCATGTACAGAGTTTTTGGAAAGACTGAAAAACCATCCAAAAATGCTCAGAAATTCTCATAATCTTGGCCAAAAGGGCTAAATCAGATCTTAGTTCCAATTAGAGTAGGCCCACTGATATCTATGGCACCTAAGTTAGTGGTGAATGAAGTCCCATTTATTTTACTCAATTTGGGACAAACATTGAATTTAGCCCACAGCTAGGCCTTATGCATGTGACAATTCAGATTGATCCCTTGTATTGTATGGATGCCAGTGTTGACCCAGTGCTCAGCTCATGCAGGGAAATGTAATGAGGTTCTTGATACATTCTACA